GTCATCTCGGTGAGTGGCTTCGCGATGGTTCCATAGTCCTTCACGAATTTGCGATAATAGCCCGTAAGACCAAGGAACCCTCGCAACTGCGTCAAGCTCGTGGGCTTCGGCCACCTCACCATTGCCTCGATCTTCCTTGGGTCCACCTTAACGCCCTCATGAGAAATAAAGTGCCCAAGGTACTCGACCACCTCTTGAGCAAACGAGCACTTGGACGGTTTGATGTAGAATGAGTTAGCCTCCAAAATCCCCAAAACAACTCGCAAGTGCTCGAGATGATCTGCCCATGTTTTCGAGTATACCAAAATATCATCGAAGAATACTAATACAAACTTACGTAGGTACCTTTTAAAAATCGAGTTCATGGCAAACTGAAAGGTTGACGGCGCATTGCACAACCCGAAAGGCATCACGAGATATTCGTAGTGCCCTTGGTGCGTGCGAAAAGCCGTCTTGGGCACGTCCTCTTTGGCCAACCTGATCTGATGGTAGCCCGCGCGTAGGTCGAGCTTAGAGAAGTAACGCGCGCCACCCAACTCGTCCAGCATGTCGTCGACACTGGGGATGGGAAAACGATCCTTCACGGTAGCCGCATTGAGAGCGAGGTAGTCCGTGCAAAACCTCCAAGTTTCGTCCTTCTTCTTGGCGAGCAACACCGGTGACGAGAACGGGCTCGAGCTATGCTGGATGAGCCCGGACTCGAGCATCTCGCCCACCTGTCGCTCGATCTCCGTCTTTTGGAAGTGTGCGTATCGATACGGATGCACGTGCACTGCTCGACCTTCCTCGACCAAAGGTATGCGGTGGTCGAACTCTCGGTGTGGCGGCAGTCCCTTGGGTTCGTCGAGGACCTGGTCGAACTCCTCGAGCAAGTCATGCACCTCGCGCTACCTCTCCTCGACCACCTGGTTGACCTCCTCGAGCACCTCCGCATCCTTACCTGTCTGCTCGACCACGACAGCGTACAACTGTCCACCACCTCGCCATACCTTCTCGATGTTTTTTAGACCAACCTCCTTGGTCGATCCTTCGCTCGCTTTCAATGTAACCAACCTATCATCGGTCTCGAACTTCATCACGCCATTCCGATAGTTGGTCGTTACGTCTCCGAGCCCTTCGAGCCATTGCACACCAAGCACCACATCAGGTCCCACCAATGGTAAGGCAAACAGGTCCGCCTTTACCGTTACTCCTTGAAATTTGATTGGTACGCCTCGGTACACCTTCGAGCACCGCAGTCTCTCTCCATTAGCCACCCGCACCTCGAATGGCTCGACCATGGACGTGGGTAGTTTAAGCTTGTGAGATAGCGTCGCATTAATGAAGTTGTGCGACGACCCATTGTCCACGAGCACAGTCACTCGCTGATCCTTCACCCACGCCGGCAAACGCATCGTCCTCGGCCCCTTGGTGCCCGCCATGGCGTGTACAGAGATCTCGGCCTCATCATCGAGCACCTCGACCTCCGCCTCTCGTCCTACTTCGATCATCGGCTCCTCGTCGTCCGAGTCCACAAACTCGATCAAGTAGTTCTGCTTGCATCGATGTCCCGGCGTGTACTTTTCCTCGCACCGAAAACACAGCCCCTTCTCTCGTCTTCGTGCCATCTCGTCCTCCGTCAACCTCTTCACCTCGGTTGCCGGTGGCCTAATGGTGCCCGGCGGCCTCGCGTTCGCACTAGGTGCGCCCACGGTCGCCGGCACACGTCGCGGCTCCGGGACTCGAAAGTCCGCCCGTCCCCTTCGAGTCGCGGCCAGGTGATCCTCCCGTCTCCTAGCAACCTCCATGGCCTTGTGCATGGTCTCCGGCCTCTCCAACCGCACTTCGGCCGCGAGATCATACCTAAGCCCTCAAACGAACGCGCCAACGAGCGCGCTCTCTGGCCACCCGTGAACCCAGCACGCCAACCTCTCGAACTCCTTTTGGTAGTCACGTACACTCCCCGTCTGCCGGATCCGAGTCAGCGCTTCGTCGTGGTTATGATAATCTGAGTTCCCAAAACGTGTAAGGAGCTCTCGTTCAAAATCTTCCCAACGGATTGGTTGTTGCCGCCCGCGATACACGCGCGTGAGCCACTGCCACCACACGTTGGCCTCACCATCTAAATAGTACGCGGCATAACGAACCCAGTCACATTGCAGCATCTCATTTAAATCGAAGAATTGCACCGCCCTGTTCTGCCAAGCATCGGGGTTGGTTCCCGTGAACGTCGAGAGCGCGATCCTTGGCTTCTCGACGCGAGCTCGCTCATGTACGTTCGATGCCTGCGACCGCTGTTCGTATTCTTCCTCCTCCTCGAGGTTGTGCTCAGCCCGCTGCTGCTCCTGTTGCCTTAGACGCTCGCGTGCGTTCATCCGTGGTGGCTCCTGCTGCTGCTGTCGCTGGAACCCGCGCAACACCTCCTCCTGGCACTGCTCGAGACGAGCCACGGTAGCATTGGTGGTGGTCTGTCCTTCATCGAGCGAACCAAATCGACCCTCCATGCTTTCGCTTATGGCCCTGAATTGGCCTTCCAATCCTTCGACTCTTTCTTTCAACTCACGATTGGCCATATCTTTTCTGGCTTGCCTACGTTCTCGACTTCCCGGACTAATTTTGTTTATTTTTTTTATTTTTTTTATTTTTTTTTTGAACAACGAAAATTAAGAACGAAAAATTAAAAGAGAATGGGGAAGAAGAAAAACACACGATCTAACACCTCTCAATGAAAGCACCAATGATGAAGATCGTGTGTCCCGACTGTCGACAAGCCGCTCCCGCGCCTTAAATCGCTCGATAGGTGTTAGGAAGTCGCACACTCGCAGCCTTTCTAACGAATAAAATTGCAAAAGAATTCAAGAAGAAAACTAGAGCAAAGTGTTTGAACAGAAGTTCGGATTTTGTATTGATTTCTGAATGAATAAATTAACAAGAGGAAGAGCCTTTATATAGGCATCAACTAGATCTAGTCCTAATATAACTATAACTCTAATAAAGCAATAAAATATTAGGAGTCCTAAACAAACTAGAAAACAAGGAAATAAATATCTAGAATATCTCTTGCTTGCGATTCAAGCCGCCATTGCGCGCGTGCTGCCCTCGCGCGCCCGCCTCGCCTACTCCTTGCGTGGTTAGGCCTGCTCGCGCGTGAACCTCCTCGTTCGTACCCGCGCTAATGCAGCCTTGGCCGAGATTCTCGCGCGCGTCACCGTCCGCGCGCGCATGTCCTCTAATGAGTTGGGCCTGGGCAACCCGTCGGCTTAACCTCCATCGTGCATGATAAGCGCGACTCGCAGCATTCTTTAATCTCCTTGTCGTGTTCTCATCACAGCACCCAGTCGTGCGCCCGCAGTGTCCGCCAGCGTGCGGACAACGCCCGGTCGTGTGCCGCAGCGTGCGCAAGCGCCCCGGCAGCACCTGTTCGTGCCCCGCACGGGCCAACGAGCAGCCCGAGGCCCGTTTCGAGTCTCCCCTCAATTCTTCCAAACCCTTATGTGTGCATTTGACTTATTTGACCTCGTTATACGTGCTAAGTCCATTATGTGGTATTTATTTCTTTTCGGTCAAGTCTAAGTGTTAGGTCCGAATGTTCCAATGTCCACAGAACGTCACGAACTACTTGGTCGACTTTTGTTCGACCAAGTATGATTGCGTTTACTCACTAAGGTCAAATAAGTATTGATCTTAGTACTCTAAATTGTTGTAGGTGTTTGACGAGCCGTACTCGCTACCTACTCCAAAATTGTGTTGCCTCTTGTCTTTGCTACCAGATGGGTTTACTTATTCAAAACTTGCTATGCCATATATGTGTGTTTCTTGTTGAGATGGTATGATTTTAGTATGTATGTAAATCATGTAGCCTATCGGCGTGAGCCGATGTCGGCCGTCGGTACGGTTGTCCCCGTCGAGTTACGGTACGGTTGCCCTTGCGAGGCAAGTCTCCGTAAAGACCTAATGAAAGGCCGTGTCCGTTACAGTGGCACGTACCCCCATGAGTTAGGGTAATGAATCACCTATCCTTGGCCAATGAGAGATGTGTACACGTGGGTAATATGTTATGATGTGATGTGATTTGGAGACGTGACAAATGATTGCTTTATGTTCATACTCGAACCATACCAACTGTTATTATTATATATGTGCATAGTGGTGAGCACGTTTATCATCTTGTGCTCATCCCCACCTGCTCTTCACCGATGCAGGTTAAGCAACAGCCGGGTGACGAGGAAGGGACGAGTTGGGTCGGTGTAATTACTTATGCATTTTTATTACATCCCCTGAACTTGAATAAGTCTGTTGCACGTTATGTTTTTGTGCAAACTGTTTTCGAACCTTGTGTGTTGGTTTTGAAACTTATGAACCTTTGTCGTTTTGGGATTGATGTTTGGTTATTTATTTCATGAGTTTATGTTGGTTAATGAAAACCGATTGTGAAAACCGGGTAATGAATCCCCGTAGGCCCAGATAAGACTTGGGATATGAAAAATGTTAGTTAACACCCACTAAGTTTTCGAAAATGATTTTGAAAATTTTATATTGGTTTTTGGAAAATTCGAAATTTCTGTAAAATCAAAGTGGGGTGTTACAGTTTGGTATCAGAGCCCGTCTGCGTTTCTGTAGACTGGTTTTATATGTGATTATGTATTTAGACCTTGTATTATGACCACTCGTCTCCATCACTCCGCGTTGCTCAAGGTATGTATGATTTAAGTATTAATGAAAATACTTGAGATGTAAATGTATCGCATGTGGTAACTACTTGTAGTATAAGTGTTATATTTGGGGCATAGGATCTACCCACCATGATTTAATTGAACTCTAGCGTTTAATTGGCGAACTCTAGACTTCAGTAAGTTTTGATGATTTTGTTTTTTCTTGTGCTAAACCTCGTTCGAATTATTCAATGTAGAAGCATGAATACTCGCAACAACAACCATAATCGTCAACCATCCATGCAGCCTTCTCCACCCCGGCAGCACCAGGCCCCTCCGGCCATGGACCTCACTCAGCTTATCGTTCAGTTTCAGCGCATGAATGCGCCAACTTTCACGGGGACTGAGAACCCCACAGCAGTGCTTGAGTGGATGAAGGAGCTGGACAAAATCTTTGCTGTACTCCCCCTCCCCGACCGTCAGCGCGTGTCTCTTGCGGCATATCAGATGAAGGAAGATGCCTCAGACTGGTGGATTGAGCTTTGGGCCCGGAAGCCCGAGGCGGAGCTTCATGCTCTCACTTGGGAGCAAATGAAGACGATGGTGCGTAACAAGTTCCTCCCTCAGAGCTTTTGGGACAGAATGGAGCACGAATTCTATCACTTGCAGCAAGGCAGCTCCTCGGTGGATGAGTACATCCGCACTTTCACCCGTATGTGCCTTTTTGCGGGTGATGCGGTGAACACTGATGCTAAGAAGGCCCGGAAATTTCTCAAGGGTCTCAACCAGAGGATCCGTGAGTTGGTGGAAAGTCATGGACCGATGTCCTATGCTGATACCGTGAGCCGAGCTCAGGAGGTGGAGAGCTGTCTCATCCCAGTTGTTCCCATTCCATCTTACCCTCCTGCCTCTCAGCCTCCTCAGGCTATCCAGTATGCTCAGCCCATCTCGACCGTGCCGCTCGGCTCTAGCTCGGGTAAGAGGAAGTCCGACTTCAAGAACAAAAGCAAGGGTAAGAAAGTAAGTTTTGATAGGTGTGACAACCCACCCTCCACCGGCCAAGCCTGCCAGAAATACGGTAAATCCCACAGCGGTGAGTGCCTAGCTAGCCAGCGCACCTGTTACAACTGCAACCGCCCGGGACACTATGCTAATGTTTGTCGTGAGCCAAAGAGACAGCAGTAGCCGCCCTATCCTCAGCAGCAGTAGCTTCCCCCACCACCACCACCACACCAGCAGCATCAGCAGTAGCAGCAGCCCCCACCGTTCCAGCAGAGGGCTGGAGGTCAGGCCCGTGTCTATACCCTCACCCATGATGAGGCCGCTCGCAATGCAGGTACCATGTCCGGAATGCTTTCGATATCCCATGTGCCTGTTTTTGTTTTGTGTGATACCGGTGCTACCCATTCGTTTATCCCATCTCGTTGTTTGGAGGCCTTATCTGTTAGCACCGTGCATGCTTGTGATCCTCTCGAGGTTAGTTTAGCCTCGGGATAAGTTATTATTTCTGATTCAGTAGTTCGCAATCTTCCTATCTGTATTGGTGGTCGAGTTCTGGAGGCCGATGCGTATGTTATTGTTATGCGAGACTTCGACGTGATCTTGGGCATGGACTGGCTCACCCGTTACCGAGCCGATATCCGGTGCCAGGAGCGCGAAGTCACCCTTTACCCCGTTTCTGATCAGCCGGTTGTGTTCTTTGGGGTGAGTTCGAGGACTGTGCCTCATCTCTCCTATGCAAGCTAGGAAGAGCCATTCCAAGGGTAGCTGTCAAGGCTATCTTGTTTCTATGGTATCCGACGTCGTCGATGAGCGGGTGCCCGAGCGAGTATCTATTGTTTGCGAGTACCTGGACGTCTTTCCTGATGACTTGCCCGGAGGACCGCCAGACCGCCAGGTGGAGTTCACTATTGACTTAATTCCCGGAGCCGACCCCGTTTCTAAGGCCCCTTATCGTATAGCGCCGAAGGAGCTTCAAGAGCTCAAGGCCCAGATTCAGGAGTTGCTCAAGCTCGGTTTCATTCGTCCGAGTGTTTCGCCGTGGGGTGTGCCCGTCCTATTCGTGAAGAAAAAAGACAGATCTATGCGCATGTGCATTGACTATCGGGAGTTGAATGCCCTTACAGTCAAGAACAAGTACCCCCTTCCCCGCATCGAGGACCTTTTCGACCAGCTGAGGGGAGCCAGCGTCTTCTAAAAGATTGACTTGCGTTCTGGCTATCATCAGCTGAAGATCTGGGAGTCAGATATTTCCAAGACTGCCTTCCGTACTCGCTATGGCCACTATGAGTTCGTAGTTATGCCCTTCGGACTCAGTAATGCCCCGGCCGTCTTCATGGACCTTATGAATAGGGTCTTTCATCCTTTCCTAGACCAGTTCGTCATTGTGTTCATCGACGACATTCTGGTCTATTCCCGAGATATTGATCAGCACAAGGAGCATCTGAGGATTGTGCTAGAGACTCTTCGCCGCGAGAGGTTGTATGCTAAGTTCTCGAAGTGCGAATTCTGGCTGAAACGCGTGGCATTCCTTGGCCACATTGTGACAGCTCGAGGCATTGAGGTGGATCCCAGCAAGATCGAGGCGGTGAGCAAATGGGATACGCCAAGAAGTGTCGCGGATGTTCGTAGTTTCCTAGGGTTAGCAGGATACTACAGGAGGTTCATCGAGGGCTTCTCGAAGATAGCCCAGCCGCTGACCAACCTTACGAAGAAGGCCGTGAGGTTTGATTGGAGCCCTCAGTGCGAGGAGAGTTTCCAAGAGTTGAAGAGGAGACTCACTACTGCGCCTTTCCTATCCATACCCGACCCTACTTTGGAGTTCCCCATCTATAGTGATGCTTCGAAGATGGGCCTGGGTTGTGTTCTCATGCAGCAGGGGAAAGTCGTAGCTTATGCTTCGAGGCAGCTGAAGCCTCACGAGCAGAACTAACCCACTCATGATTTCGAGTTAGCTGCTGTTGTCCACGCCTTGAAGATTTGGCGGCACTACCTCTATGGAGGCAAGTGCGAGATCTTTACCGACCACAAGAGCTTAAAGTACATCTTCACTCAGAAGGAGCTGAACATGAGGCAGCGTAGGTGGTTGGAGCTGGTCAAGGACTATGACTGCACCATTAGCTACCACCCTGGGAAAGCTAATGTGGTAGCCGATGCCCTTAGTCGAAGGAGCCATGGCCAGTTGTCTTGCTTGTTCACCAGGCAGGATGTCCTTCTTCGGGAGTTCGAGCGATTGCAGTTGGAGGCAGTAGAGTCGACTTCGCCAGCCAGGGACATGTTGGCCTCTTTGATGGTGGGACCGACTCTTCGGGAGAGGATAGTCGCCGAGCAACCGAATGACCGTTTCTTGTGCCGGATGAGGGAGTTGTCAGCAGCTGGTAGAGTTGGTGGATTCGCAGTCACATCCGATGGAGCCTTGGTCTTCCAGGGTAGACTTTGTGTTCCGAGGGTGTGGGAGCTGCGGAGAGAGATTTTGAAGGAGGCCCATAGTGCCCCGTACACCATCCATCCTGGTAGCACGAAGATGTATCAGGACCTGAGGAAATCCTTCTGGTGGCGAGGCATGAAGAGGCAGGTGGCGAAGTTCGTGGATGGGTGCCTGGTGTGTCAGCAAGTGAAGGCTGAGCACCAGAAACCAAGAGGGTTGTTACAACCCCTTGAGGTTCCCCAATGGAAGTGGGATTGCATCACCATGGATTTCTTGGTTGGACTGCCGAGATCGAGGAGCGGGTACGATTCGATTTAGGTGATAGTGGATCGCCTTACGAAGTCTGCCTATTTTCTGCCTGTCCGGACGACCATGAAGGCGAGTGATTACGCCGAATTGTTCGTCAAGGACATTTTCAAGCTTCATGGAGTGCCCGTGGAGATTGTTTCGGATCGAGATGCCAAGTTCACATCCCAGTTCTGGAGGATGTTGCACCGAGCCATGGGGACGAGGTTGGAGTTTAGTACAGCCTTTCACCCCCAGATGGATGGTCAGTCGGAGCGTGTGATCCAGTACTTGGAGGATATCTTGAGGGCTGTGGTCTTGGACCGAAGCCTGACTTGGGAGTATGCCCTTCTGCTAGTCGAGCTGACCAACAACAGCTACCACTCTTCGATCAAGATGTGCCCATACGAAGCTTTGTATGGACGTAAGGTCCGGACTCATTTGTATTGGGATGAGGTTGGAGAGAGGAGGATTACCGGACCAGATTTTGTTCAGAATACTGCTGCGACCGTTGAGGAGATCCGGAAGGCCATCAGGTCCGCCCAGGAGAGGCAGAAGGTCTATGCCGACCGGGAGAGGCATGAGCACGAGTATACGGTGGGAGATCACGTTCTTCTGAAGGTTTCGCCCAGGCGAGGGGTGATTCGCTTCGGGAAGAAAGGGAAGCTTAAACCTCGCTATATTGGGCCGTTCGAGATCCTCGACCGAGTCGGGAACTTAGCGTATCGGCTGGATTTACCACCAGACTTGTCGGGTGTGCACGACGTATTCCATGTCTCGATGCTTCGGAAGTATGTGCATAATCCTGATCATGTCGTGGACTTCGGCGAGCTGCAGGTCGAACGAGACCTTACCTATGAGAAGGTGCCGGTAGCTATTCTGGATCGGAAGGTCCATCAGCTGAGGAACCGGGCAGTGAGCTTGGTGAAGGTGCTGTGGAGCCGACATGATGAGACTGAGGCGACTTGGGAAAGGGAGGACGGTATTAGGAGGCGTTATCCGAACTTTGAGTTCTGAGTTCTCTTTTGTATCTTTTATCGCTTTCTAGTTTCATTTTCGAATTCCGAGGACGGAATTCTCTGTAAGGTGGGTAGACTGTGATGCCCCATTTATTTATGAATAATTGGATATTATTTTTATTGTTATTATTATTATTATTGCTATTAATGTGCATATTTGTCTAAGTGTTTTAAATGTGCCTTATATGTGTATTATAAATATTAAATGTGTGTTATAATATTTTTTTAATTAATTATTATTATTAATATTTTAATTTATTTTATTTTTATTTTGCGTGGAATTGAGCCCGATTTTTATTTCGTCGAACCGAGCTTATGTTCGAACCCCCGAGCCGCGCCCCAGCCGAGCCCGCACCCTAGGCGGCCGCCCCTCCCCCTCTTTCCTTTTGTGTGATGTTGTTTATTTGGCAAGTGACTTGTGGGTTAAGTCACAAAACCTAGCCATATATATATGAGAAGATCACCCTCTCTTCTCCATATTTTTTTCACGCAGCCTTTTCTCCATCTCTCTCCCTCTCTCTCGATCTCCCTCCTTCTTTTCTTTTGTTTTTCTTCCGGCCGCGACCAGCCCTCCGCCACCGTGCGACCGCCTTCGTCCGTCGCAAGCCCCGTTCACGCCCAGCGACACCAGCAGACGACCCTCATCACGCACGCGAGCATCCCAACGGCCAGCAGACGCGCACGAGACACCCCAGCGCCCCGCGAAGCCGCCAGAGCCCCGCAGGCCCGTTTCCCCGCGCGCCCGTGACCCCTTGGCCCGTTCGATCTTTGTTTTTGTTTGACTTTCCCGAGAACGGTACCAAGCTATTAAACCCCCCTTATTTTTGTATGTATGTGATATTTAAGGGCTGAAATTAATTGGATTTCATGCTAGGGTTTATATTCGTTTGAGTTAATTGCGTGTTATGTTCGTTTCGTGCAATTTATATGATGTATGCGTTACATCGTGAAAGGGCTGTGGATTTACTGGAACATTTGAAGTCGTTGGCCTTATGATGAAGGCCTTAGATGAAATTGTTGATTAATTTGTTGGTTATGCATTTTTGAAACGAGTAGTGCTGCTGAATATTCAAAAAATCGCCTAAAATCGTATACTCGTCCGATTGCTGCAAAAATTTTACCGTATAACCCTCTGATGATGATATAGGTTGTGTAAAATTTCAAGTCAAAATAAGGTCTGTAGCTATGTTAATTGTTAATTTGAAAATCTGACCAGAAACTTGGAAAAATCATTAAAAATCGAGCACTTGGTATTTTTCTATGAATTTTGGTGAGGGTCAGTAATTTGATGATATGTGTGTTGTGTCCAAAATTCGTTGAAAAATTCGAAGGTTTACCCAATGAACTAGTAAGTTTGGATTTTCGTCGTCTTTTCGTAAAAATTGATTGGTTGAGTTAAACTGAAGTATTAATGCTGAAACTTGGTGAAAATATGTTTTTCTGGGTGTAT